CCAATTGAATTATACTGTGACTGCCAAGGAACCCTGGATGTCCTCTGGGGTGGCCAGGAGGCTGGGGCCTCTGCTGGAGTGCCCAGGGCCCATCTCTGGGCCCCTTTCTGGTCGAGTTTCTCTCCTGGGGACCTCACGGCGACCAAGACGGCAGCTCACTGCACGATGACTGACGTCCACAGTGGCAAGACGACCCTGTGGGAGATGAAGGCCAACGATTCGGTCGACTCGTCTGCGAAGATGGGTGCAGCCAAGCACAATCTTCGCGAGGCAGATGTGGAATTGCACAGAAGTCTCAAGTGTCTGGTGAAGGAGTCGACCAAGTGGGCCGCCAAGTTAGAAGTTCACCTGCAGAGTCAGTCTGGCAAGCGTCTAGACACTGTGGGGCTCGAAGCGGCAGAAAAGGCTGCCCCCGACACCCACGAGCAGCCGCCCTTGCCTGAGCCAGAGACTGATGAGTCTGAGGGCGGGGACGGGGTGGAGCTGGGGTTGGGTGGGGCGGAAGGGTTCGACTGGGCCGATGTGGCCACCTCTGCGTTCTATGTGCAAGGCCATGCCCTGATGTGCTGTGAGATCGAGAGCCATACCCGTGCGGGGGTGCCCACTGTCTATTGTGTGAAGTGTGGTGCCTACTGTGAGGACTACAAGCCTGGGGACCTGCTCAGGGCAAGATGTAACCATAGGCCTCGGCCAGCTCAAGTAAGGCACCAGCTGAAGAGAATTCGAGACTGTAAGCACCCTCACGGAAGGGCCTCGTCTAAGAACCTTGCCGTCTCCCAGTCTTGTGGGCTCTCGGAGGCGGAGAGGGATCTCATGCGCGTTCGATGTCACCCCTCGCCTCCTCCTGCCGCAGAAAAGGTAGGCCTTGCGAAGCTCGGCTACGTTTCTCGCAAGGCCGTGCTGGAGGCCTTCGGCTTGCAGGAGTGCGGCCTCGACACGGTCAGGTCGCTAGGCGAGGAGGCGCGCCGACCTCCCCAGGATCCCGGGGACGGGGAGGCCTCGGATTCGGAAGGAGAGGTTTTTGGGTTTTACCACTGACTTTAGGTCGCTCCACAACAACAACAACAACAACAACAGCAACAACAACAACAACAACAACAACAACAACAACAATCATTTTACCCGAACGCTCAGTGTTCTCACCAGTGCCAGGGTTTTCATGCGACGCCAGCCAATACCCCCACTTCGTGGGGGGGCAGTTCAAGCTCTACCAAATATCCAAACGACTCTTCGCCACCACCCACACCCAGCTTCCCGCCCTATGACGTTGGGACACTTCACGTTCGTTGGCGTGCGTTGACGACCCACAGAAGTTGTTAAGCCTTCCACAGAACATCTGGCGTACATGATACACATGATAGGTACTCACAAGATAGTTGATCACATCATTTCGGCGTGCGCGCGCGAAGAAAAAACGAATGTGTCCCGCATGGTATTATTTGACAGGGATGATGGCCCTGGCAGGTGCGCAACCGTTGTCGCAGAAGTTCGAAAAAGTTGCTCGCAAAAACCCGTTTGACAGAATTGTTTAAAAAGTGTTGGTTTTCCTACGAATCCGCAAGAGCGCGCGGAAGGACATTTTGACAATTTTTTCTTGAAAAACCATTGGGTTTTTGATGTTTTTATGTTAAAATCGCTCCGAAACCTAAGGTTTTGGAAGGATTTCGTCTTGCGCGCACGAATGTCCACTTTACCTTATTTTTTGCAAGGGATTCTTGAAATTTGATTATATTAGAACAAGAAATGTCATTTTATAGTGTTTTTTGCAAGGGAAAACGGATTACAACAAAACAACCGGATCCGGTGACAATCCACTTTTCTGAAGCTTTCGCTAGAAAATGAAGGAAATGAGGCTGCGGCCTAGGTTTTGGAGGGGGGTCGCGCACCAGGGGTCTCAACAATAATATTTCTTTAGAAGTAATAATATTCAACAACAACAACAACCAACCAACACCACAACCATAACAACAACAACAACAACAACAACAACAACAACAACAACACCAACAACAACACCAACAACAACAACAACAACAACAATCACTTTACCCGAACGCTCAGTGTTCTCACCAGTGCCAGGGTTTTCATGCGACGCCAGCCAATACCCCCACTTTGTGGGGGGGCAGTGCAAGCTCTACCAAATATCCACACGACTCTTCGCCACCACCCACACCCAGCTTCCCGCCCTATGACGTTCGGACACTTCACTTCGTGGCCTGCGGACGACCGTGGCTACTACACTGGCGTGGAGTACACACCCACAGAAGTTGTTAAGCCTACGTTCGTACACCCACAGAAGTTTTAATTAGCGCCGGCCGAGGGCGCAACCTATGGCGCAACCGCAAGGGATTGTGGCCCCTGGCAGGCGCGCGAACCCCGTTGCAAGAGCGTGCGAAAGTAGCTCGCGCGAGCTCATGTAACATAAATGTTGGAAAACCATTGGTTTTTGTAGGATTCGGACAGCGCGCGCGGGTAGAAATTTTGAAAAGTCGTGCAGGTGTTTTTCGAGGACCTACGGTGCGATTCGTGTGATTTTATGATGCGCGGTGCTAAAATTCTTAAGAACCCAATGGTTTTTGGAGATTTCGGCGTGCGCGCGCGAAGAAAAAACGAATGTGTCCCGCATGGTATTATTTGACAGGGATGATGGCCCTGGCAGGTGCGCAACCGTTGTCGCAGAAGTTCGAAAAAGTTGCTCGCAAAAGCCCGTTTGACAGAAATGTTTAAAAAGTGTTGGGTTTCCTACGAATCCGCAAGAGCGCGCGGGATGAGATTTTGGTTGATTTTTTTGATGATGTTAAAATTGAACACAATTTTTTTGTTGAAAAACCATTTGTTTTTTTGATGTTTTTATGTTAAAATCGTTCCGAACACTAAGCTTTTGGAAGGATTTCGTCTTGCGCGCGCGAATGTCCACTTTACCTTATTTTTTTGCAAGGGATTCTTGAAATTTGATTATATTAGAACAAGAAATGTCATTTTATAGTGTTTTTTTGCCAGGGAAAACGGATTACAACAAAACAACCGGATCTGGATCACATCGTTTTACCTGAGGCTTCCTCACGAAAATGATGAAAATGTAGCTGCGGCCTAGGCGGCGCAGGGGGGGCGCGCACCAGGGGGCCCAACAATAATTATTCTTTAGAATAAATAATGTTCAACACCCAACAACAACCACAACAACAACCACAGCAATAATAACAACAACAACCACAACAACAACAA